TCGACGGAGGAAAAAGTTGCATATATTTTTAATTTTATTGAATTTTTTAAAAAGGTTAATTTTAATTTGTAAATGATCAAAATATTCAAAAATATTAAGTTATTACAAACCCGTTGCACCTGTCTTTACGATAAAGTTGTTTAAAACCTTATCGTTTCATACCGTTGTATACCGTTAATTAACGATCCAGTTGAAAAGTTAATTCCCAATTTGTATGTCTGCTTTAAACAGTATATAAATTATAAAATGAAATTAAATTGTTATGTGGTATAACAAAATATTTTTAATCAAATAGTTCAACAAATTTTTTGTAAAAAAAAAAATTGCATTGAAAACAAAATACAAAAATTTTAAAATAATAAATTTAAGTTTTAAAAAACAAAAAAAAACACGCTTGTAATGACATAATATTTATTTCATATTTTTTAGTACGATTTATCAATAAGTTTTTTGTGGACATGCGCAGATCGCACACTACTAGCTCTGTCCCTCACACTCTCATAGATGAACTATGAAAAGAATATATTAATCTTGGCGGCCCTAATATGGATAATGCGAAATTGTTAACGAATTATTGCATTGTTATTGATCCTTGAGACATATGCAAAAGTTTCAAGTTAATCAGATGTTTAGAAACCGGTGAAAATCGTGCTCAAAGATTCCGTTACATACCTACGAGTATATACAGCCCAAAGTAATATAGGCGTGTTAAAAATGTGCGGGTTTCATTCTTTCGGATAATCCTCAATAATGAGCAAATGTACAAAGTTATTTCATCTCAAACTTTGTTTGAAAGATTATTTAAAAATTATTGATATTAGTTAGTACACAAATATATGCTTTGTATGATCTCTGACAACTTCATACGGTTTTGGAATTTCGTACAATCAAATCATCCCGACACCTTTTGAACGTCGTTTCGAAAATTAACACCAGACAAAATGAGCCCAAACCTGATAAATTCCGGTATTTGACATGCGTACCTAATTACTTATTGCAGATTCAATTGGTCAAAGCATTCTAAATATGTATATCTTACGAAACATAAAGTTTTTAATATTATGCATAATTGCAATAAGAACGTCCTACAATTTTAAGTGCACAGTGCAAGTCTATTGAGGTAACAATATGTTACATTATTGAACTTGTATACCTAATCACTCTCTTTTTCATTCTTATCACCATAGTTTTCTTTTGTTTTTGCTATTTTCAACTCACGTATTTTTAAATAAGTACAATCAATTTGGATTATTTTTTTTAATTTCACTTTTTTTCGTTGCTTCAACATCTTAAAAAAAGTAATATTTTTTAATGTGATCCTCAGATAGACAATAATTTCATTGTTTGCATTTATCAATAGTAAATAAATAACCGTGAACATTATAATCCAGATATTCTATAATAAACAAACACTTGAAGTTGTCTGTAAAAGGCACAGTAGATTATTAATTAATATGGAAATATCAAGTCTTCTTAATTCACCAAGCTATTAAGTTAAGAATAATATCGATTGAATATAATTCACATAGACCTCTCATCTGCAAGTGATCACCGTTGCTGCAAAGTAACCGAAACGTCGGGAGTCTGTAGAGATAAAATAATAAAATACGCGAAGAAATGAAAAAATTAAATGAATATTTAAATGAAATCAATATTATTCAGATCATATTGATTTCATTTAAATGAATATTTAATTGATTCAACTCGCGAAAGTCTTAGATGTCATTAAGCAACATAATTGTTATTATACCAATTATACCTAAATGAAGCATCAGCTTTTAAATTAAATATATCATTTTATTCAATACAAGCTTTCATTATTTCTACTTAATTTTTTTTTATCGATGCAGACGGTTTATGAATAAGGCGTTTTACAGAGCAGCGAAGGACAAAGTGCTACATAAATTATAGACATTTTCTGGCAGTCTTTAAATAAATTTTGTGCTGGATTTCTAACTTGTTTCTGATGCGCCCGTAAAGCAAAGAGTATAAATTTAGTCTTCATTGTTTTAAATTCTTAACTTCGTTATTCTGCCCTTTTCACATCAACATATGGTAAAATATTTGCCCTGCAAATAATTTACCATATAATATTTTATACCAACATTACAATAGTAAATTTCGTGTAAAATTATTATCTTTCCAACTATTCCTATAACTATATTATTATAATATATTTGAGGGATATTATTTTGACTAAACTATAAGATATGAAATCATTATTTAAGTTAGAAATATTTCGTCACACTTTTAAATAGTAAGAATTAATGTGATTGGAGATAATATTCGATAATTTATTTAACTGCCACTTGTTGCAACAAATGTGCTATCAATATTAGGTACAACATTATTAAAAGTTATTTTTTGGTAGTTTTTAGAATAAATATAATAAATTATTTGTAAAAATGTAAATAAAAAAGATATATCAATTTGTATTCATAGATTACTGCCGTAAATTAACTACTTTTGTTTTTAAAAAAAGCATTAAAAAAAGATAACACTACAATATTTTTAAATTATATATAAAAAATTATCCCTTAATATACTAAATATAATTATATAATAATGAGAAAATTTCAAAAAACCTGTTGAAAGCCGTTTGTTATATGTATTAACCTTTTTTTAATACTGCATAACATTATAACTGAAAATATCATATTTAAATAACGGATTTTTTTAGAAATATAATCAAAAGAAAAATTATTACATCTCCATGTAGACTACTGTTCGGACCATTTGTATCTTTATGGGGGCTATTTGTCATGAAGTACGTTTTATTTGTACGGTTATACGAAGAATCTATTGAAAATGTGTAAGAAAGTTGTAGAACAATGTAAAAGACAATGGATACTCAAATAAACAACAAACTGTATGAAATTATTTTTGATGTATTGTGTGTTAAGTGTAAAAAGAGTGTCAGTTTTTAATTTATTTGAATGAATAGGAACTTTTCGTAAATTGAATACGGCACATATTGAAGCATGAGGATGGCTAATATAATTTTAATTAAAATAAAATCCATATTATTTCTTCACTAGTAATTAATTAAGGATTCAAAATGATGATAGAGTATTAGGTACTTTGTGTGTATTTCAAGTCTAAGAGGATTAACAATTTGAAAAAAAATAAAGTCGAAAGTAACACTTGTCAACTTACACAGAAATATTTTGCTTTATTATAAAAAAAATGTTTTTTAATAAAAAACTAAAATAAATTGCTACAATTTTATAGATAGTTTACATAAATTTGGGAAAATATTTTATTTTTAAATTATAAGAAAACTGTTCGTGGGGTTTTCACATCAAATCAGTTGAACAATTTGTAAATTGGAATTTTTTGAATTGAAAAACCTCGAAGAAATTTTCTAGCTGCCATATTTAGTAAGAGCAAATTTGTATTCTTTTAAAGACTGTTGTTTTTAATATTTTATCAGTTTCTCGGTTATAGTTTTCTCTTCTGTGAGCTTAATTAAAACTTTCCTTGTATACTTTTCCTTAAAATGTCCATGATTTTATTTGCTTTTTAATGCAAAAAAAATTAATTACTGGAAGGTATTACATGATGAAGGGGTATTTTCTCCATGGATATGTACCACTTTTGTATAGAAATATGTTCAATTTTTTGTTAAATATTTTAAAATTCACAACAAAAACATGACATCTTGTAAGTGCAATGAAAATATTAATGAAACTAAAGACATTTCGCTTGTAAATAAATAGATATTGATGATTAAAATACTTAAAGGTTTAATTTAGAAGAGAAAAAATGGTAAACTAAATTTAATTCATCTTAAATTTTATCTATAATTTTAACTGATTTACCAACATATTTTATAGAAAATGTACTGAGTTAAAAGACGCAATATGTTTGAAAGTTTTATTTATAAAGTGACCACCTAAGAAAGGTTACCTAGTCACGTTATGTAATCTTTAATATAATAAATAGTTTACAATTCCAAGTAAGGATAAGAAAAGCAAGAATATTCTTTCAAGGTGAAATTGTCTGTACGTTTATAGTTATCGACATATGTAACTGCTTGAGACGGTACAAGAGCACTAGTTGATGAACGTGTCAAGTATATCACAGAGTTCCAATGAATATTTAAATCATTTGATGTCAATCAATTGATGTGTTTGTTTTTCTGTCTTTAAACAGAATTAAAATAGTTAAGTAATTATTTCGATATATCCACTTTTGACAATTTTAATGATCAAAATATTATTTTCATTTCTTTTATTTGTCATATAAGTGCACATCTTTCAAAGCATCTGTTGTCCCGACAACGTTTATACGTTATAGTGTCCATATTTTTAATTCGTTCTTGTAAGCACAGTTTTTTCGTATTTTATACTAACCATAATATTGATGATACATCGTTTCTTCCATGTTACTATAACATTGTATATTTTGAGAATTTTCTTATGTAAAGCAATGTAATTATGAGATAATTTCGCCTTCTAATACATGTACTAAAAGCAATGCACGCTGCTTTTCTTTCACCTTTTTATTGATATATTTTTAAGAAAGAATTCAAATTCAATTGAATATTTTTCCTTAAAACAATGCATGTCAATATGATATATATATTGGATATGGATATGGTACGGTCACTATAATATGAATCCCTACCTAACCATTTTGTATTGTTGTTTTATTGTATAATATGAATCCCTACTTAAAACCTTTTATTGTATGAATCCCTACCTAACCATTTTGTCTTGTTGTTTTATTGTATAATATGAATCCCTACTTAAAACCTTTTATTGTATGAATCCCTACCTAACATCATTTTTTCATATAGAATGAACCACAACATGCTTTTTTGTACATTGAGAAACTTCAAGTTGTTTTAATAATTTTAGTATTGAATTTTTAAAGTTTGATATTTTTAAATGTTGTTTTTTTTAAAACTCGATATTTTATTTTTTCCAACGTTTGAATCAACGCGACGGCGACCGCGACGACGGTGGGAAGTTATCGTCCGTTTTTTAAAACGCGAATTAGTTATACCGGTATTGCGTACGCACATCCATTATCTCAACATCCATCACCTTTAATACAACATCCATCACCTCAACATCCATCATCTTTAATACAACATCCATCATCTCAACATCCATCATCTTTAATACAACATCCATCACCTCAACATCCATCATCTTTAATACAACATCCATCACCTCAACATCCATCACCTTTAATACAACATCCATCACCTCAACATCCATCATCTTTAATACAACATCCATCACCTCAACATCCATCATCTTTAATACAACATCCATCACCTCAACATCCATCATCTTTAATACAACATCCATCATCTCAACATCCATCATCTTTAATACAACATCCATCACCTCAACATCCATCATCTTTAATACAACATCCATCACCTCAACATCCATCACCTTTAATACAACATCCATCACCTCAACATCCATCATCTTTAATACAACATCCATCATCTCAACATCCATCATCTTTAATACAACATCCATCACCTCAACATCCATCATCTTTAATACAACATCCATCACCTCAACATCCATCACCTTTAATACAACATCCATCACCTCAACATCCATCATCTTTAATACAACATCCATCACCTCAACATCCATCATCTTTAATACAACATCCATCACCTCAACATCCATCATCTTTTTAGTACATCCATCACCATTACCCAAAACCCATACTACATGAAATTGAAAAAACATGCAAATGATATGAATGATGATACCCAAATGAATGATGATGATTTGTGTATGTGTTGTGTGTGTACTTAAAACTAACTTAAAAACTAAAAGCACTTATAACTAAATGCAGCCTAGGCTGCGACGCTTAGGCTAACTTAACACTACTTACAACTAAATCTGCTGCATTACGACCATCAAACGGACCAACCCCAAATCGGTATGAACACACCCGCCAGTACCAGCCACGCACCCTTCTCAGTCAGCTGAGCGACTCCAGCTACGCGCTTAATAAAAGACGGAATGTATGGACAGCTACTTGCATTCCCCACGCGTAAAGCGGCCTAGGTTGGTTTACCGAAATTTTAGCCAATGGTGGGTTCAGCTTTCACCTAAACGTCCACACGTTCACACAAATATTTCAAAAGTAAACTAACTAAACTCAACCCCAGACTCTAATACCCCTGTCACACTGAACAAACAATTAAAAAGGTTCTTCGATGGGTTGCTCACAAGGCAATCACTTATTCAAGACAAACTTCACATCTCCAGGTTTTCAATCGATCAGATCAAAAAAAACCAGAGAGATGAGAATCCTTCCTAATTGTGTCCGTGTCCGTGTCCGTGTTCGAAGTCGTAATGCATACAGATATCATAGATGAGGGCTTTATATACCAAATATCGTATTTACGTCATCATAAAGATTTTATTTTTTTTGCTTGCTGTTGTCAAGCGAATCTTAATGATGCATGAGTAATAGCGCTTATCTCAAAGCGATAACAATTAATGAGCTAATGCTTCCGTTGCATCCTAATGATGTTTTCGTGACATGGCCTTGTTTACGTGCTCCTGGCGGGTTTATCTTAATGGTGTTGTTTACGTGCACCTAGCGTTTTATCTTTATGGTGTTGTTTGCTTGCTCCCGGTTAATCTTAATGATGTTGTTTACTGATGAACAGGATGATGTAAACGCTCGTATGCCTACGACACGTGCAAGGATGACTAATTTAATAGAGAAATGAGGTCGAATGGTTAGTCAAAGAGTATGCCTTTTTTTTCAAAATGACTAATTTTTGATGCAAAAAAAAATTGAGAAACAAAAAAATATTCAACAACCAAAGTCTGTATATTTCAATGTGATTTTGATTGTATAACATGTGATTTTGATTTAAATGTATAATTATTAACAAAAGTTGAATAAAAAAAATTAATGTAATACACATTTAAATTACAATTTACATTAAACATTAATACAACTTGAATATTAAAATACAAATTAAAATACAACTTTACAATTACATATGTAAATTTACAACCCAACACTAAACACTGAACACTAAACACAAACACACACTACACTATGCCAATTCTTCATTTTTCAAAGAAATTGTCGTGATGTTGTTCAATTTATTTGGATAAATTTTAATAATATTTTGACATCCAAAATCACCGATGCTTATATGCGTTGACATTTGGAAACCGGACACCACGACAAATGAATCCTCATAAGATTCTATGGATTTCATCACTTTGAATCTATCGAACGGATGCAACACCTGCAGGTCCTTGTAGGAGCACATTTTGACAATATTTGAAATATTTAAACTATCCTTGCATACGACCTGTTTCTTAACAGCATCTATTAGTAGCTCCTTTTCATTTTCTGCTATATTAACTATTGACGTTTTGCCCTGATTGGTGAGGGATATATTGAACAACAGTTTCTTGTCGAACGTAAACTCTACACTGTCCGACAGCTCCTCCACGTTGTCCACCTTATGGAATTTGCCTGATTTTTCGACGAATGATTTCAAACGGATATTTTCAGCCGACACGAAAGACACCTTCCTGCACAGATCGCTGTGAATGTGGCCGAACGTGGAATATAACTCGTGAAAGATTCTAGATACCGTGTCATCGAGAACGGGCGTCTTCTTCTGCAGGAACTTTGGCTTTTTGATGGCAAATGATTTAAAATTGTTGCTGAGTAGACAGTTTCTAAATTTATTGTAATTTTCGATGCAGGTTTTCTTGTAAATGTGTATAAAAGAAAGACAAATGTTGATCATTTTCAAATCACCGTCGTTCTCTTCGAATTTATCAGCATACAAATTCGACAAGGCATAAGCAAACAATTGGTATATAATATCTAATTCTTTGTCACTTCCCAGCAGCTCGAACAGGTCGTCGCGATTCTTCAGCTGCTCGGCCGGCTTAATGTCATTTTCAATTAAGAGTTCCAACATTTTTTGAACTACATCATTTTTCGATATAACTACATCGGATCCTCGGCCGCCGCCGCCGACACCACTGTTATTATTGACATTATCTTTGAGCGATATTTTCGTATACAGTTTGACGTCCGTCTTCGGGGCCAACTCAAATACCCCATCGGTGTTGGGCATGATGTGTAATTCATCATCAAGATTGTCACCAATTGATGTTTCGGACAATCGACTCTTTGAACCCACCATTGTAATAGTAATCTTAATGATTAATGTAAACCAAAGATTAAAATTTTACAGCAGGCCAGCGGCTGTGGAAGCTTTGTTAAATGATTTACATACTATTCATCATCAATATGGTATTGTATTTGAAGATTGTTTAAATTCAAAATTTAAAGGAAAGCATCCATCATGGACAAGCTGTTTATATACACTGCGGAAAATATAATCAAGGTGGTGGGTCTGTTGGATAGAAAGGACCAGGGTGGGGTCGTTGATGAATTTCAGAAAATTACACGACTCAAAACCACCGAGGCTACGTTTCGCAGGGACGCTCTGAATTTTATTTACAATGGATGCATCAACAGAATGCCGAATTCTTTTCCACCCACCAAAACTTTCACAAATAAATTGGAATTCATAATGAACAAGCCGTTGTCGTTTTTCGACACTTGTCCCGATTTTAAAAATCTCATGTCCTCCATGTCCAGAGAGCATTCGAAGAAAATCAATCAGTGCTTCCTGTGTCTGAATCGAAATCAACAGCTTCTTTTCCTCGATATTCATAGGAAGATTACGGATTCCATGGACGAGGATGGCATAGTTCGCAATCCGTTCTTTATGTTGTTAAATTCACGTTCGGGTACGGGTAAATCGACATTGATCAGTGTGGTGGCGGCATCGATGTGCAGCAAACTTCACATTATGGTGTACAGCAATAATCTGCGTAACGTCCTCTCGTCTCTGCACCCCAACATTGTGGCCATGACGAATTGTAAATTTATTATGGACTTTTTGGGTTGGTCCTATTACAAAGCCATTAGTTTCTTTACACCGTTAGCCGAAAAATCGTTGTGTTACATTTACAGAATGATTCTGAAGAGCGTTACCATGTTCCGTTTCCCAAAGAATTATATGGATTTAAATGTGACGATGCGCAATGGTAAAGTTGCTGGCCGTAGTTGCAGCGGCAGCGGTAGCGGTAGCGGTAATAGTAACATTGAAAGGGAAACACATTTGTTTGTATTCGACGAGGTCACATTGTTGTCACCCTTTTTTGTAATATTTTTAAAATTTACATCAGAATACAAAAAAATTAACATTCTAATGGTGGGTGATGCCAATCAACAAAAGACCATACGAGTCTCTAAATATCACAAGATGAACAATCTATCGCTGCTGGACGAACTGGTTGATTGTTCACTCCAGCTGAACATTCAAATGCGAACCGACGACAAGGTGTTCATGGAAAAGATTGCCGTCATAGAAACGGAATTGGACAAGTACAAGGACAACATCAAGATAAACTATGCACATAAACTGATGCTGTTCGAGTTGTTCGAAGAGCAATTCTTGGCCCAGGAGGATTTCAAAACATTATATTTTGCATCGAAACATCAAAAGTGCAAGGATCGCGTCCTCCGAATGTATTTGCATGCCAAAAGTGAAAAATTGAAGTACTACATTGTCGCGTACAAGAACAACCATCGGCAGGATGTATTGCTGCCCAAGTCCAAGTTCATGTCGTGTTTAATTCTCGTGGAAAACTATCCGTATATAAAATACAATGAATACGTGAAAAATGAGAATATTGTAGAGTTTCAGCATTGCGATGACCAGTGCGAAACGGCGGTGGTGAGATGCGATGATAATAGAATTGAGAAATTGAAGAGAATAAAACTCACCAACAAGAACACAATAGACGATCACTTGTTCTGGTTGCGTGAACACGATGCCACACACCAGTTTCCATTGAAGCCGAACGTCTGCACCTTTAACAGTTCCCAGGGATTGACTATAAAGACGACAAACACCGAAGTGGACATTGATGTGCCACATTGAATGCCGTGTACGTGGGTATAACGAGAGTGCGTCGGCTGTCGCAACTGAAGAAGATACACACCAAACATTTGAATAGTTTAATTTATACTAAACTTAAAAATGATGAGTTTTATTATAAACTTGCCGATGGTGATGCATCAGATGCAATTTGTTTAGATGCTGGCTGTGAGGGTGCAAGTTCAAAATGTAATGCAACACTTGAAATGTATAAAATTCAAACAAATTACATATAAAATACAATTTCAAAGAGTGTCTCCAAAATTCTTTGATGTTGTGAGGGATAAGAGCGTGTTCGTATCGAGAAAGGGTTACGATGAATATTACAAAAGTAATTTTTTATATGAACAATCACAAATTATTGAATCCTATAAATATTTAAAAAATGAAAATATACATGATTTGATAAAAATGAAAGTCAAAGATATTCATAATATTATAAAATGTACATGCGAATCACCCGTTTCGGATGTAGAAGATGAAGATTATGATGAATGTGGTGGTAATGGTGCTTCTGCTGCTGGTTGTTTTAATGATACTCGTGTTAATAATACATAGTAATGGTAGCAGTGGTTTTATTAGTAATAGTGAAAATGATTTAAATGTTAAACGTCCGGAAAGTGATGTAATGAAAAAAATTAGAATGAATTTAAAGAGAAAGACGACCGGTTGAGTTTATTTTTTTCTCCCCATTCGTAAATAATAATGAATTAAACTATACGAGTACATAATATATTATAAAATATAATTATAAACTTTGAACAACAAACGCCTTTCAAAATTAAATAGCAAAAATACACATGACAACATATTCCTTTAATTTTTTTTAGGCATCATTTCTGTAAAAAGAATTGCATCAACTTTTTGCTTAGGGGTTTGAGGAAAAAAACCATAGTCAATAAAGTGATTTTTACATGTACACATATTATATAAATGACAATTTTTTATTTCATAATAATGTCAAAGTTAAGTAAAGCAAAAAAAAACATAAAATCTAAACAAAAACTACTGCTCCGTTGTCGCAATTGAATTAAAGTAATCCTTCAACACCAAATAATCCAACCTGTTCTTCACGTCAATATCATAGGGCAGTGCGTAGTCGTCGTACTCGCATCGGTAATCGGAGCATTTAATATCTACAAATTCACTGAGAGTGTTCAAATTCATCTTGGATATCAATGTCCTGCCGTGCAGATTGGTGTACGGTGACATCTCGTACAGCGTGCACAGATTCAGGAACCTGACGCTCTCCGGCTTGGTGTCGTGATAGTATTGAATGGCTTCGAATTCTTTCATTTTAATATAAAAGTCTGAATCCGTTCCGAATTGTTCCATTTTGTCTAATGCCTCGTCGATCACTTCTCGCTGATATGGCATACGAAATCTCAGTTTGCCACATTCGAATATCGCAAATCTTAATATCATCTCTCTGTCCATGGGATTGGAGATGGGAGCGGTCCTAGATAGGATGTAATAGGTCTCGGAACAGTTACAATCATCGTTGAGAATCACGTACCACAGGCATTTCATTAGGAAGGATACGTAGATGTAATTGCTGCTGTTGCAACTCAACGTTTCAAAGTACACCAGTTCATTGAAACCGTAAGGCGACAGATCCAGTACATTCTTCAGTACATCAAAATCTTTCAGCGGCCAGCACAGCATTATCACGCGTTTAGCATAATTGGTAATTTTCACCAGTTTATCATATTCCAGTTCGTCCAAGGTGTCCTGGTTGTTGTACAGAATTTCCTCGTTTTTTTCATCGTACACCAACTGATAGGTCCGTATCATGGGAAACGATTTCAAGTATTGTCCTATCGAATATTTACAGAGGTCCACTTTGAATGATTTGTTTGGTATGTTTTTCATAATTAAATTGTACAATTCCAGATAATCGTTGCGAGTGATCATGGTGCTGCAGTTCAACCTGTCCACCTGGACACTGGTGAAGAAGGCGTACATTAAAATATAATCTACATTCTCGTAAGTGTTTAATTTTCTAATAATCTTTTGTAGTGTGGCCGTGTTCTCACCAACTGTAATGTTTTTAAAGTGTTCAAAATCCAAGTTATTGGTGAAACTCTGTATGTAGTTTTCTTCGAAAACTCCATCGCTGGTTAGAAGATTTTTTAGAATGGCACGGAATACCGGGTGTTGAAGGTGCGGCTGTTTGTCCGGCTCGTTGCACAACGTTTCGAATATGGACCCACCGCGTTTTGGAAACAGTACGTACAGGGGATTCCTTTCCATGTTGTCAATGTTGGTGTAGAGAAAATTCATGCGTTCCAAGTCGAAATAGCCGCGATCCACCAGCGGCGTATACTTTAGATTATTTATATTTTCATATTTCAATTTGTTGATAATGTCCAGGACGGTGGCATTGTAGTCTTCCGTTTTTTGAAGTCGCCTAATAATGTCCATGAGATCCTCGTCGGATTTTGTGGTCAGTTTGGTATAAATCTCACCCAAGGTGACATCCGGCTGCAGATGGTGCCTCTTTTGATTGTCCATTTTTTAAAGTTCTAAAAAAATTACAAATACCACCGTGGCATTTAATCTTTGGTGGCAACGAACGCCTGCTTCTTGGAGCACAACAACGGCTTCATGTTTTGGTTGTAGTATACGAACATGCTGAGTATCAGTAGGGCGATGGTGAAGACTTTTATCATAATGTTTATAGGTGAAAATAATATTAAAGTAATCGATGTCAAAACGGGAGCCACTATGAGCGTGGGATAGCAGTATTGCGTGACGAGCTGGACGATTTTTTGACGTTTACATTCCGTTTGGGGTGTATCTTCATCGGCAGCCGTATCTGGGGGCAGGGATCTCTTCAATCTGGAGGACGTAGGCGTATCCGAATCCATGCTGTTGGTGATCTTTTTGACTTTTTTGTCCATGGTGACGGCACGTTTAAATTCGGTGGAATCCATTTTTTTAAAATTGATTTAGATTTATTTAAAATTTACTTAATCATCAACAACATCATTATTAATAATATAAATGCAAAAAAAAACCATAATAGTAATGCTAAAAAAAACAATTTTAAATTGAAAAATAAATATAACCATCTAGACAGACGTTGAGGCGTTTTTCCATCCACTCGACTTGTTCTAGGATGGCTTCCATGGTCGCCATGCCGAGTATGCTTTCGTACAGTTCTAGTTCGCAGCGAAGTTTATTCTTTTGTGTGATGGCGAAACGCCATTCTCCATGTTGATTTTTGATATTTAAACATCTCATGCGCCTGAACTTCTCATTGGTGCCTGGCGATGCATCTGCTGACCACGACAGTGAGGATATTAACAACGGACGTGGTAGTTCTGCTGAATCTTTTAATATTTCTTCAGTACAAATTTTATAATTTAAATTGTTATAAGAGATACCGAAAAGTTTGGTCTTTTTATCGTAGATGATTTCATCTCCCCTTTTGGTTATTCGTAATTTAAAGTTCTGTCGCTGTCATCGTAATACCATCTTTCCATGGTGTACAAATGTAAATCTTTCTCGGTCACATTGAAAATACCAGTTGCAATCCTTATGAGTATGTCATCTGGGATAATGTCATCATTGAGATTTAATACAAACGACCACTCTCTCTCTACATTGACATTGGACATCATTATTGTAATGTTACGTTTGATATTAAAACGACAAGCTATTAATGTAAACGTTCAATTTTTAAGATGCAATAGCATATTTTGTCATTTATAAACATTTTTTCGTTATATTACATATTCATATCTACATTAATAGTAAAAATACAATCTTACTTGTATGTATGTACATGTACATATGCGTATGTTTATATGAATTTTAAACAAAATGAACACACAGCTTGTGGACGAGAAGACACTGAGAAGGGAACTGAACACTCTGCTCACCTATATGCCGGACGGCTGTAAACTCAAGAATCCTTTACATTTATATTTTCGTAGATTGAATCGCAACATCAACTGGATGACAACGGCACCTTTCATGTTCAACGAAAACACCAAAAAAAATGGTATAGCCTTCGTCGATCTATTGAAATATCTGCGCGCTCTGGTGATTTTGGAGAACATTAAAGTCATACTGTACTATGATGTCAATGCAATGAAAATTTCACAATTGGAAGATGACATTATCATTAAAATACCAACGTCAAAGTTGAGAAATCAGTTTGGTTAGTTGTTTTTTTATTCAATTATATATATTTTTCATTTCATTTGCCTACATTCAAATACACAATTCACAAGATAAAACCAATATACATTTCATTGCCCATTTTATCCTTGGACTTTATGCCGGTGGGAGAGAATTTTAAATTGTAAAATTTAAACTTGTGAAACGTCTTGATGATGGCATCCATATTTTTTGATGTGTCCAGCAACGTGACCATTTCGGATTCGTAGGGTCTGCTCTGCGGCTGGTAGGCGCGACGAATTAATTTTAAATAATAAAACTCATTGGGATCGTTGGTTTCGTATTTGATGAGGCCGTTTTCGATCTCGACGCTACCATCTGGCATGGCATAGTACTTGTCAAAGGGTTTTTCAATTCTACGAGTGAAGCGATTCACGTTGTTCTGCTCATTGTAAATGTAAATGTTATTCGAGAATCTCTGCAAGAAGGAATCCACCAAGATGGGCACATTGGATACGAAAGTAAAGTTGTCCAGTTTGTAATAGTTCAGCCATGTGTATTTGGAGTTTTTGAGGAAATTATTGCACTGTATAAATTTGGAATTTATTCGGTACCTGTAAAAGATGTTGCGATTCTCGATCAGAGTGTACAGTCTCTTGTACACCAGGTTCACGTAATCCTGATCATTGTAAATGTCCGTGTACACCAGAGCATAGAAACGGTACTCGTATGAGTTTTCATCGTTTTTATCATACTCGAATAGGGGATCGAGATTTTTTACATTCAGATTCTGTATGATTTCGTGAGCGTTATAGTTCAGGGGGACGGCGATAATGTTGAAATTGAATTTATGCCAAGCAACGCCTGCTACTTCATTACATTAAATATATAAACGAAAAATACCCGCACATCGGCAGCGAGGTTGCGTACACGGTGAAACAGGCTGACCCCGAAAAAGATTACTATTTCCCAGAGACGTTCAGGTCCAGTGCCAGTGTGGTGGATGTGACCATAACCAAGAATCTGTGCGAAAAGGTATCCTGCAATTCGGCCACAAACAAGGGTGCCTGTAAATTTGGCGATCCAGCCTCACTGTACAGGATAGGGGACATGGAAAAGTTTAAGATGCAATGCCAACCGGCGTGTTACAATCTAAAGAATCAGAGAGTGTTCGACGATGATGGCAAAGAGGTGGTGCAATCCCATCGATTCGAATGGAACAAGCACAACAAGTGCGAATTCGTAAATTCCGCCGTCACCTGGATGGAGAAACCATTCTACCGTTCCATGGAAATTTACGAGAAGCGTGTAAACGATCTCGAATTGGGTTTCAATTATGACGAAGATTTGGATATGTACTTTTACAACAAATACTATTGCAACGTGTACTTTGACACCTACGATCCCGCCACCAAAAACTGCAAGACGGCATGGTATGATTTCATTGCCAACGTGGTGGTGGGTGAGAACATTATGAAATTATTAAAGGCGGGCATTAGTTACATTGAGAATGGCAACACCATAATTCCCGCCCGTCTACCGCAACCCCCTAAAATTGATGACAAATGGAAAGTTGAGAATTGGAAAAAAGATATAAATCCTAATTTCGTGGTGCCCAATACGGAGATCAAATTTGATGTGACTGGCACTGGTAAAAGCAGCAGTACGGATGCAACGAAACGGTTAGCTGATAGATATGCCAGCGACACGGGAACAAAGAAAGATGAAAGTGGAAACAATGATGACAAAAACAAAGAAGAAGGCAACTCATCACAGAACGTGGTGGAAGCGGTTCTGGTGGGTCTGTTGGAGAGCATAGTATCGACGGAGTTCTTGGAAAGCATCGCCGTAGACATGAGTACCACCATTTTGGTGACACAACTGAAAAATTTTGCACTGAAAATTCTAGAAAAACTATCAGTTTCAATGGCCGAGGCGGTGCTAAAGTTGAACGTCCAACTGTTCGAGAACATTTTGAAAGCGTCGGTGGTGAACGTGGCCAAGAACATTATACAGACGCTGGCTGTCCGAAGCTTGGGACTGCTGTTTCAGTTTCTCGCCAAATCTCTGGTGTTGCTGAGCACCGGCATCGGTATAGTGCTGATGGTGGTTCAAATCTTCGATCTGCTGTTCGTGTTCTGGGACCCGTTGGGTTTCAACAACAAATACCCCGATGGATATTTGGAGAAGTTGTACGACAACTCAAAGTATGCACTGCGCAAACAGCTCAACACCAACGATCCCGTGCTGACGTTCGAATATCTGTGCAGTATACTGCTCAGCGAGGCTGAACTTACACAGATCAGTCTGCAGAGTCTGGTATATTCGTACGATTATTTGTCCCATCTGACCATAAATGCCAGCGGCTCCCGTATTGATATCGGACAACAGCTGGACAACGATAAGATAGACATACCGAATAAGATGAAAGAGCTGGTGGTGAAGAATAAAATTTACAATTATAGAGATTTTCAAAACTATGAACAATCTCACATGGATAGAATTCAGACGTTCGGCAACATGTTTACGTTTTCGATCATCTCCATGGTCTTTGGTCTGGGTCTGATGGCCTTTAAGCTGTACACTTTCGCGCTGCTAATATTTTTAGTTAGTATACTTTTTAATTTTGCATCATTCTTGAACATACAATTCAATGTGAGTGAATTTATAGATACCTATATCACCATTCAAAATAAATACATAGAGACCTTTGATTCTTTCCAGTCACGTACAATCGGATAGAGCTATTAGATTTGCAACTGAATTGCTATAGATTAGAAAAATTGAATTGTAACGTAATATGTATTTTTTCATCTTAAGAATTCTTTTTAATAATTTATAACAATGAATTCATTAAATAAAAAGTTTTAAATAGGTGACAACTGAACGTGATTATTGTAAAGAAATGTTTTGTTTATTAAATTATTAGTTTACTTGTTACAGAATTAATAAAATTTTCGAGCATTTTAAACTATTTTAACTAAGATTAGATTAATTAAATTATTATTTTTTTCCTTACTTGAACTTACAAGACAAATAAAAAGGAATGGCATGGCAATGGCAACATACAGGATTTTATATTGTCACCTATTAAATGAAATAATGACAGTCGTATAAAACATTGTTTTAAACATATATATCTCTACATGGAAAACATATGTAGTATTTCTAAGTTTCTTATTAACAACTGTGAAAAATTCCATTTAAGCTTCAGAGTATTTTATGTTTTCATTTATCACAGCATCTAACCACGTATTTGCAGCCGCATTTCGTCTATTAAAAAATCTTTTTATAGTAATTCTGTCTGATGTTCTCGTTAGTCGGGATAAAAACAAAAACATTTCATTTGTAATTCAAGAATTTTATTCTTGTGTTTCTAGGTGTAAATATAAAAAGCCTATCAAGTAATTTGTAGTAATCGGTTTCTAAATATTTAATAAAGTGCTCATATTTACTTATAATGTTCTGTTTATGACAATAAAATGGATAAGTATTTAAAAGTCATAAAAAATGTGACTAGATAATTTTAATTCCTCTTTCAGTGTGGATGATCAGTTAAGACACTTTAATTTTATGTACCAAATAATAATTAATTAGTGGATTAATAAATGATGTACTATTTTCAAGTATAATATATTTAAGTATATCACACATTTTATTTTATAAAATTTCATACGTATTGAACGTATGAGAGTTAATCAAATTAAATTTGATACTTCATCGAGTCTCATCACAATGTTATATTAAATTGTTCAGTGTTTAAACGTGGAGATACTTTATTTAAAAGAATATTTACACGGTACAAATTTAAATTAAATTAAATAAGTGTAAATGACGCTACCATAAAGCCAGTTATATAGCTTGTTACAGTTATTAATTTAAACTTATGTGATGAATAGAGCAGACGAATTCCACCAAAAGTTTTGTTTCTTTTTTAGTACTTAAATCACTTGTCATAATATTTTTATTGTAGTATTTTGTAAGAGATTTGATTACGTCAGCGGGCATCATTATAGGATTCATTGTGGACTACTACTACTACCTAGCTCATAATTAAAACAATGAAAAGCTACATAATGGCTAAGTGCACTACCGGTTTTTGAAATAATAAATGAGAAAAAGACACTACTAGGTTCTTTTTCAATTTAGTATTACTGTTTCTAAACGCTAAACTATTAGCAGAAAATGACTTCCGAGCATTTACTTCCAAAAGAGTGGTTTTATAATGTTTCATTTCTTCTTCACCTTTTTGTTCCTGTAAACTGAAAATAAAACCCTGACTTTGTTTGATAAATATAAAAAGTATAAACTGATTTGTCGTTATTGTAAATTCTTGAAGTAAGAAGCACAGCAAATTTTAAACAGATAGTCTTATAACATTTAACAATAATTGTTCAACAATAACACATTAGGAAAGTTAATTTTAGTATAATTGTTACAACATACCAAGTAAAATAAGTAATATGTAGGTTGGCCTTTTAATGCTGAAAATAAGAATACGTAGGATGTCTTTCCGCGAATATAAAAATAATCAAGGTGGTTTTTTACCACACAACTTCAAGGGAGTTCGTCTTCCTTTATTATAATTTCATATTTTTAGAATCTTTATTGATGTTAAGCATATATTAAGATATTTTCCATACTTCATTTTGTCTACAACACTTCTTGGGCCGATGAGGTAACAGGATATATCGTTAATTTGCAATTTATGTAAAATTAACATTGTTGGATAATGAGGACTGTGAACAATCATTTGAATATATTTTCATCTAGCATCGTTAATTGGTATGACAAAGTAACATCTATTGATTCTGTTGTTTCTCATTAATAAATATTAAGATAAAATTAAATTTTTGTATTTACATATATATTGTAATAAATTTTAAAATAATATATTTAAATTACATTAATAGTGATCACAGGTAGATTAGTTAAAAATCTTTTTTGTTTGTTGTTTATGTTGTAATGAATTTTTAAATATCATTACATATCAAAGCTTGCTACATAGTAAGTGAAGTTTAATATTTTTACCGTACTTCGTTTAATAACCGCACATTGTTTTTTTTTAATAAAAATATAATGTTTATTTATAAAGTCATTAATAGGCAACAATATTGAAAACATATGAAACGTATTAATTATATCGTATACTCATTGATTGGAGTTTAAAGTTATATAGTTTGTAACCAGCCTCTATTTTTATTTATTAATTTATTCGTTGGTTCATTTGATCGTTCCTTTGTTCATTTATTCATCAATTCATTCGTTCATTTCGCTGTGATTTTAAAAGAAATGATTTTGGCATTTGTATTCATGTTTGCTCTTTTTGGGGTTAATAAAATTGTTTCTTTAAATAACTGTAGTTACTGTATATAAATAGTTATTTCACAGGTTTTTGAAAAATGTGATTTAACGAATGAGTGCCGTAAATCAAAATAATATATTCAATTATTATGTAGCTTAAATGCTACTTTAAAAACAAAATATTGCATGAAATATGTTTGAAATACGAACGATTACAATTAATTTTATTGTTCTTCAATAAAGCTTGGGAACAAACTTGAAAATTAAAGTTTGTTAAAAAATAATCTCTTTGTTTTAAGACTAAGAGTTGATATTGAATTAAGACTACGTTAAGTATTAAGAATGTTGTCTCCTCACAACATGAAGTGTACATTGAGACAAACATAACAAAGTTTCACTCATGTGTTTAAACTTTCTGAATTGTTTGAAGTCAAAAGACATTTTGTAAGGAATTTGAATTAAAATTTGGTCCAACATCTTGTATATACTGTCAACTTTATTTCACACAAAAAGGTTGATTTTTTAAACATATCTGTGATATCATATTTACAAAATATATGGGAACTAAATCACTAAATCTTGATTCCAAAACACAAAGATACCGTGGTCGCTTTTAAACTTTGTTATAGTTGTGCAATGTACATATGCATGTAAAGTGATTGAATGAATAAATTGTAATAATAATTAATAAACTTACAAATTCATAATATAAATATCAAATTACCTACAAATTTTCACTTTATTTCTTTATGAGGCAAACTGTTAGAATAAAAATACAAAATAATTAATAATCACACTAGGAAAACAATAATAAGTATTAGAAATATTTATAAGCCTTTTATAAAAATTTTTAACATATTTTTGATAATGCCTTATTAGAATATTAGTCGCGTCACAATAAAAACCAAACCAAGTGTTAGTGTCTTAATAAGGCAGATAACTATTTATAACTACACCTTTAAAAAAGGAGTAGTATCATTTAATAACATAACATTTATTCGTCTTAAGACGTCTTTACCTCTTTTATCCATATCTTCTCTGTTTAACCAGGATCCACATAATTCTTCTAGACCTTCCAGATTCTTGGCAGTATTTTAAGACAAAGTTTGCTGCCAAAAGTCACAAAACTGCTTAAAACTCTGTAGTGAAATGTTCAATAAGACTTATTATTGACCCCGATTTGGTTAACACAATTTTATTCACTCTCAAATCGAGTAAACGAGTCAAACTCTTGGTATATATATAATGCTTTCTGAAATACTAATATATATTTTTAATAACTCCATTCAAATTCCGATGTTATAATTACCTATATAGTAGTTACACAATATATTTAATAAGGTCACTTGCAGAAACAGTAGAACATAACAAAGAGATGTTTCTTGAGTAATTGGTACATTATACGCACTGACAGATTCTAATGCGGATTACTATTTGACTTTGGGGACACGTAAAGATGATTTACTCTCTGATTGGTAAATTATATTGAAAAATGTTTCTTCCATTGTCGTTATTATATTAAATATTTAATATATCTGCGTGTAGCAAAAAATTTGCCACAGTGGTGGTAAAAAATGATTTCAATAAAAATAAGAAGCTAATCTGCTGTACTGTATAAAATGAAACTTTGAGATTTTATTATTTTGTTCTTTATGTTTAAATTGAAAGACTGAAACCTAAGAATTAACACAAAACTTTGTACATAACATATAAAAAGATATGTCGCATAATGTATTTTTCAGAATATAAGTTAAAAATTAAAATATTTCTGTTGATACTATTCAATTGTAAATTAACATAGATTTGATATTATAATTAAATAAACATATTTGTTTCCTTATTATTAAAAGGTTTTACGTACAAAATTCTTGTAAAGGAATTATTATTTTAACTTTTCGGGTAAAAATATAACAAAAATTTGACAATACTTATAACCTACACATGTATCTAGGTAAGATGCCATCAACGGTAACCGTTGAAATTTTGAATGGAATTGTAATTAAAAAATGCTTCCTTTCCTTGGAGAAATACCGATTTGTAAATTAAATAGCAGCATTTTTTGTTCTTATAGACGAAGTACAGAAAAGTATGGTAATGATAGGTTTTTCCCACTTAAAAATTATGTTTTGTTTTTACTATAACTGCTTTTGATGGTCAATAACTATCCGATATACACAAAATCTTTGAAAATAAGTGTAATTATGTTTTATAAGTCTTAACATTTGCATAGATGACAGCTTGTAATCGTATATTTAATTTGTTCTTAAATTATTTTTTATTACTTAGCTTTCTACCTTTTTCGTGATGGAAATATAAATTTATTAATTTTATGTAATTAACTGTAAAAATGAGTAAAAACTTTCTAAATTCTGTAACAATTTCCTCTATCATCTTCAAATCTATTTCAATACAAAAAAGAATAAAATTCAGAACAATATGGTATTATTTGTATTTTCGTTGATAAATTTGATATCATTTTAATTCAATACGGGGATTTTTTTTATTTTTCACATATAATTCTTCGAACGGGATAATATGTTTATGAATGAGAAACTGTTAGGGCTCTGTATTTTCATATAAGGTTGATAATTTATGATATAAGTTAAGATACTCGATCTATACGTATTATAGAGACGAAACTTCTTAGCATTCAATGGATTCACCGTGAGGGTGCCGGGTCCATCGCGTTGCAGTGAGAGGAGCTTCAACAGTGCCTGGGACTAGCGACCCAGGTGTAGGTTTAAGGGGCCCCTTAACTAACGCGCGTTATACGCTCACCTCCATTGTCCAAGTTACCCATATATACAATAAGTAATGAAAGCAATATTTTCAATCATGATATTTTTATGACAGTTATTTGAACTGTTTTGTTTGAACAGAACTATTTCAATTTGTATTTCTTTAATACTCTCATCCAATCACTCAATCAACTTGATTTATTGGTTTCTACAGGTTTTTATTGCGTTACGAATATTGGTTCAAGTAGGGGATAAAGTAAAAAAGATAAAGACGGTTAATTTAGATTTTCTTCGGTTTAGCTTACATAGTTCAAGAATTATTATCTTGTAATATTTCCAGTAAA